GGCTAATATTACAGTTTTCCTATAGTCTTTTAGTTTTATACATATTGTATTTTTCTACGGGTTAACTCTGTGAAATTTTTCATATATATATATATATATATATATATATATATATATATATATATATATATGTGTGTGTGTGTGTTTAAATGAGTAACAAATATTTGCTTGTACCATGGCGGTTAACTTAATAAAAAGTGTTCTATAGGGTGACCTAGAGCTAAAATTATTATACTAATAATTATACTCGGTTAGTAAAACAACTCAGATGGCCCAATTTGCAAGTATATCAAAATAAATTGGTATCCGAGGAAAAAATTGGAAAAAAATAAAGAACTGGAAACATACGAACATGGCTAAAAAAAATCGTCCAGTGCCTTAAGTTTTTAGTCCAAAGAAAAAAAAACAAAAAACAAGCGAGTAACTAAGATAAAACGTACAGTGCTAAATACACTAAGAAGAACAAGTGTAAATAAAATATATCCTAAAGAGCCAGGAACTACCTACCTAGTTTTCTAAATGGAAATGGATATATAGATATATATATATATATATATATATATATATATATATATATGTGTGTGTGTGTGTGTGTGTTATTACCATAAGAATGTGGATACATACAGACACACATATATACAGATACACACTCATATTATTAATGTGCATCTCATTTTCTATCGGCACTTTGCACTCACGTAAATATGTAGCCATTTTATATATATATATATATATATATATATATATACTTAGTCGAGGGAAGATTTTTGGCAGCATACTTTGGGTTTGTGTTACATCTAAGCTACGCTTAGTAAATTGCTTATATATATATATATATATATATATATATATATATATATATATATATATATATAACGTCATCCACAGACAGACTGTTTCGCTGTTTCACAGCTCGTCAGTGTGGTTAGACATCCGGTTGCCTCTAGCTAGGATCGAAACCCGACTGAATTGGTCGGAGATTCTAACCATTAAGCCGTCGGCGCACGGTAAGGATGAAAGTGGATTTTTTAGCGTATTTATTTTTAGAAACAAGCCCAGTGACTCAATTCGCATCTCGCTATATAGCTATAATATATATATATATATATATATATATATATACTAGCAGTAGAGCCCGGCGTTGCCCGGGGATGTAACTGTAAGAGATAGATCAAGTATCGACCATCATAAAGACTGAAAAATAAAATTGACAAAGATTATTGTTTAAGGTTGACGGACACGCATGTCTTAATTTTTTTTTTTTTTTTTACGAATTGGTCAAACCCAAACTCAAACAAAAACATTGTTTTCAATCATTTTGAGTCTACCGATTGAATAGAATTTTATTATAAACAATTGTCTTGTAAATGGAATTTTTAAAACATTGTGAATGTAAAAATAAAGAAAAAAGTGTGCAAGGCAATAAAAAACAGTACCTGCCAAAAAAAAAAAGTGAAGTTTTAGTTGAAATCGGTTGAAAAATGTAGGGAATCCGATTCCATGTATAAACGAACACAGACACACACACACACAAACAACCTGGGTTTTATAATAAATATAACTCGATATGAGTTGTCTCCCTTTCATTCTCGCGACAGCCTCTTAATCGTGTTTTCAAATTGATTTCGTGCAAAAACAATTGTGTATTTTTCAATTTTGGGCGCTGTCAGAACCACCGCAACGTAATTTTACGTAATCCTGTGAAGTGTTGTTGAAATCGGTTGAAAAATGAAGGAAATCCGATCCAACATATAAACGAAGACACACACACGCACACACACACACACACAACCTGGATTTTATAATAAGTATGATATATATATATATATATATATATATATATATATATATTTGAATCGCATTGTAGCTTGAAACTGACAATTACTATGCAGTGTTGATTCCTATGACCACAATATCTTTATCTAATAAACGCTCTATGTCAGATGTTGTGCATTATTACTTTATAAATATAGCAATTTTTTAATCGGAATCGCCCAAAGCAAGGCAGCAATGCCACTAAAAGGCAACGGGTTTACAGAGTGTAGAAGAATTAGGAACAGAAATATTATTGATGAGCAGAGAGGGAACAGAGTAATCAGATGGACAGCAGATAGCGATTGGTTGGAAAGCATGAAGCCAGAAGGAAGTTCCACAAGTGAGAAGTGCGAGAGAAGAAACTGTTAGCATAGAACTTACGGATACATCGTGCCAGCTCAATTGTAAATTAATGAGATCTTGACAGCATGTTGTTAAATGAAGACAAAAGAATATACTCTATTTAAAATGTTTACACACACGCTCGTGCCCGCACACACACACACACACACACACACACACACATACACATACATATATATATATATATATATATATATATATATATATATATATATATATATATATATAGCTGGCCACTCATATTAGAGGATACCCCTCTACTATGGTGGCTAGCCAATCCCTATTGCAGACACTTGCTCAGGCGCATTTGTGTTTCTTAAAC